TCCATCAATCTTCAATTTCTTGCTTATTATTTTTTAAGTATCTTACATCTCTATTTTGTTTCCTCATTTGTAAAACAAATGTTTTAAAGTGAGCAACTTCCTCTGCTTTAATGCAACTTAATATCAACTTTATGTGACTTAAAAGGCAATAGATTTGTCTGGACATAGCAGACCACTAAACAAAAAGTATATAAAATATGAACTCTGTGATCTTGGGCTATAAAATGTTTTCTGGAAGATAGAATACATAAGGAACTATAAACAATAATGCAAGTTGAAAGTAGTTGCATATGAAGTTATTTCTGTAATGCCTTGTATTGACTGAAAGAAGCAATAGACTGTATCAGATTTCAAATACATTAGAGCACATAGAGGTTTTACACAATGTTTGTATTAGTTAGATCATATGGCAATAAATAGATCTTAGTAATTTGGTTGTTAAAAATACATTTCCATTCTAGTCATGTAGCATCTAAAGATAAATTTTTGTTTACTTGGTGTCTCTCTTCTGTGATTGGAAAGGAAGGCATACTTATGGGCATTGTTTTGCTTCCTTTTTTTTCTGTTTTGGATCACACCTGGTGATGCACAGGGATTACTCCTGGCTTTGCACTTAGAAATTACTCCTGGTGGTGCTTGAGGGACCATATGGGATGCTGGGAGTTGAACCCGATTGGCCACATGCAAGGCAAATGCCCTACCTACTGTACTATTGCTCCAGCCCGTTTTGTTTTCTTTGCTGTGCAGTGTCTTAGGTCCTCCAGTGTATCTGAGGTAGCCAGTGGAAAGGAGTTAGAAAAACATGAGCTGGGACGAATGGAGATGTTACTGGCGCCTGCTCGAGCAAATCGATGAACAATGGGATGACAGTGATACAGTGATACAGAACAGTCCGTTGACAATAGCTCTACAACCAGGCATCCACCCATTACTGAACTAGTGTCAGGGACATGCAATCTCTTGATTATTCATTCAATGGAAGAAGGTTCCTTCACTGTTTGTTGTGCAATTTCTGTCACCAATATGGACCATGAATGATAGCGGAAGAAGAGAAAGAATGGCCTTAACCAGGCTGGAGGATTAATAAGAACAACGGACTGTTAAGCACAAAATGTTTCCATGTTTTAATGATAAAATTTATTCTAGAAAATTCTAAATTTTTACCTAAGTATAATTCTGAGAGCTAATATTCAATAGGTATTATTTTCAGCTGTAGTAAGTTATAATCATTTGAAATGATGTACAGTAAGTTATGGGGGTATAATGTGTATGGGAACAATCCCCGTATTACACTGGAATTTTTTTTTTAATCAAGTGGGAAATAAGGTTACTGTTAGGACAGATTAAATATCTACTAAATGCCAGGTGCTGAGAGAGGACATAAAAAGTTAACTCATTCTGAGGCTGGAGTGATAGCACAGTGGGTAAGGGCATTTGCCTTGCATGCAGCGGATGCGGGTTTGATTCCCAGCATCCCATCTGGTCCCATGAACACCGCCCAGAGTAATTCCTAAGTGCTGAGCCAGGAGTCACCCCTGACATTGCTGGGTGTGACCCAAAAAGGAAAAAAAAGTTAATTCATTCTTTTTGAGAATGGATTATACTGTTTATGGGGGAATCATAGTGGAATGAAGAAAGGGGAAGATTTTTTTTTTAAATGCAGAATTGGGGCCAGAGAGATAGCAGAACAAGTAGGGTGCTTGCCTTGCACATGGCCCCACCCAGCCTGATTCACAGCATCCTATATTGTCCCCTGACTATCACCAGTAGTACCTTCTGAGTACAGAGCTAGAGATAAGTCCTCAGCATTACTGGATATGGCAAAAAAAAAATCCAGATAGAATTGAATTTGTTACTGAGGTTCCACACATAAGAGACAGAATATGTAGATGACTATAATATTATTCATGACTTTTTATGAAAACAAACCTTTAAGAATACCAAATTTTATGCTGTTGGTCTCATAATTAGAGATATTAAGATTTTTATTCATTGAAAGTTCTGATTAACTTTGAGGTAATTATAGTTTTTCTGTAAGTGAAAATAAATATCACCATCCTTTATTTGATGGATGAATCTTTGTCCATAATCAATTAAGATTTTTATCAAGTAAAATCAGAATTTTATGGAATTACGGTATTTCATACAATTTACATACATACCTATTAAAATATATTCTCAGGTATTAGAGGTATTTGAAAATTCTGTCAAAGATAATGTTCCATTTCTGTTCATTTTTAGTCACACTTCCAATTTTACAAGGACTTTTATCTTTGAATATAATATTGAATATCCTGGTTTTATTTTTTTGTAGTTATGGGGTTTTCTGAGGGGAATTTTGGGCCACACCTGGTGGTGCTCAGGGCTTACTCATGGGTCTATACTCAGATCACTCCCATGGGCTCAGGGCAGGGTGGTGGGGATACTAGGGATGTTATGTGTCGAACTGGATTGGCCACTTGCAAGACAAATGACCTACTGGCTGTACTATCACTCCAGCCCCTCTGTAGTTTTAGTTCTTTTTTAAATCTTTATTTTTTATTGAATCACTGTGAGATAGACCCTTACAAAAGCTATACATGATTGGATTTCATTCATACAGTATTCCAACACTCACCCCTCCACCAGTGTACATTTTTCAGCACCAGTGTTCTCAGGTTCCCTCCCACCACTCCTCTTCCCCCACCCCTCTTCCTGCCTCTATGGCAGGCATTTTCTTCTCTCTCTCTCTCTCTCTCTCTCTCTCTCTCTCTCTCTCTTTTGTGCACTGTGGTTTACAATATTGATACTGAAAAGGTATCAAGAATATCCCTTTACCTACTTTTAATCCTCAGATATTGTCCTGCATGATCATCAAACTGTAGTTATCGTTTTAAAAAATTTTGTTTTCATGAATAAATTTCAGCACTTAATATTTTTACCCCCTAGGGTGGTGGTAGAGGTATGAAGCATTTTAAATTACCTCATATTGGGGCTGGAGCAATAGCACAGTGGGTAGGGCGTTTGCCTTGCATGCGGCAAACCTGGGTTCAATTCCCAGCATCCCATATGGTCTCCGGAGCACTGCCAGGGGTGATTCCTGAGTGCAGAGCCAGGAGTAACCCCTGTGCATCGCCAGGTGTGACCCAAGAAGCAAAATAAATAAATAAATAAATAAATAACCTCATATTTAGTTTGGTTTATGAATCAGGTGGTGTTATAAATCACTAAATTGTTTTTCCTTGAGTATGGGTTTTAATTTATCTTAGCTTTGTGACATAAAGCTCAGAGTAGGAGTCAGATCTCTATTTCAGTTGTGTCTGTCACTTGCTGCAGGGCAAGTGACCATTTTACTAAAAGATCTTGTTTTATTTTTCAGACAAATGAGGGAGGTTGGACTAGAATATCGTATAGATTGTGCTCATTGAAATATTCCCCTTCTATATGTGGATATTGGATTGCTTACTTTTTCTTACTTCATTGTACACTTAGTTTAGTTTTCAGATAAGAAAGGGTCTATTTTTTTAAATGAGCATGAAAAATTAGCTTCCATAAATGTCCTTTTCTTCAAATACACTACACAAAGACAAAAATGGTTTTGTAGAAATGAGTGCATGTTTAAATGGCATCTGATTTATATTGTGCCATGTACCATTACTGACAATTATGTGGGCTTTGAAATGAAATTATGACTTAAAATATATGTGGCATATGTTCTACTCCAATTAAAAATATGCCTAGTGAAACTTTTTCCCTTTAATTCCATAAAACTGCTAACATCTAAGAATCATGTAAATTGATTTACAGTACTTCATTCTTTGTGCGGATATGTTTGGATCTCTCAATTTTTGAACCTTAGATAGTTATATATCTCATTTCAATGTATAGTATGACTGGTAATAAGAATAATTCACATTGAGTTCTTATTAGATGGCACTATGTGCCAAGTACTTTACCCTATAATTTTCATAGGCAAGCTTCTTTAATATTTACATAAGGAAAATTTTAATGTCAAGTTGACATTATGCATACACACATCTTAAACTTTTAGAGTAAAGAAGTCTGTAAAAAATGTTCATCCTGAAGCCATGTGACAGATTTAGCAAATCATTTTTATTTACATAGAAATGTGTACACATACTTTCCCTGTACACAGAAAATTCTAAGTTTATATACATGTATGGTTCTCACATAATTTAAAATAAACAGCATTTTAACCTTTTTTTCTAGGTGAAAGTAAAAAGATGTCTCAAAGTATTTCACACCAACCACAAAATTACAAAAGCACCTGATGAACTCAGAGCAAAAATTTCAATACTACCTCTACTACCACACACTAAGCCAAGTACAATTTTTACAAAAGACAAACTCAAACACTGTAGGTATCACCATAAAAGCAAAGAATGGAAATGTAGAATAGAGACTAGAGCAGTTGGTTTTCTAAACATTATGGTATGAGAGTTTTTGATTGTTAGGACTGGTTTTCTTTTAGTCCTTAAATGTTTCACTTTGATGCTTTATACCTACAAGAGGAAAAAGTTAACATCTATTGTAAAAAAGAGTAATGCTCCATGAGTCTTACAGGTTCTAAAAACCTTTCTGCTGGTAGGTCAGACCTTCTTCCTAGTGAATGTCAATATCATTATGTTCGACCAAAAGGGTCACAGTTCCGTTCAGAGAAGATAGGAAAGGTGCTGATTAAGAAGCAATGCTAAATTTGGAGGTCTGAGTTCGGTGATTTAGTTACCTTGGTTTTAAGCGCCTGATAATGATTATTAATCTTTAATGTATTTTCATGTACTATTTTATCCCTTACTCAAATAGTTAATGCAAGAAGAACTTAATCTTGGAAGCTAAAATTTTTGAATTATAATTGTGGAATTTCACATTTCCTATTATATTTTTCCTCCCATTCTAGCCTAGGAAATAATCCCTTTTAATTTCAGAGTTATTCCATACAGATACATAAAATCACACTATCAAATGAATAAAAGGGAGTTATAAGGTAAAAACAAATATAAAATATGCTTTATTCTCTTATAGCATTGCAGTTGGCAAAAAAAATCTAAGGGTATTATAATCTTCATTTTTGTTGAACTGACATATCCAGATTTGCTTTGCCAATATACCAAAATTACTATTCAGATGATAATCTTGATGATGGTGACAAGAACAGGGCTGTGTTTAAATTACATTCTATTCAACTCTAGCTCAAATAATAATGTATTTAGTTCTACCGTGGCACTGTAGCTTAACACACAAGTTTTGAAACAAATTTTACCCCTTCATCTCTCATATCAATAACAGCACAGATGTAGGGGAAAAGACAGCAATAAAAAAAGAATTTGATGTCAGAAATGTGACTCATCTATCAAATACGATCTTTTCAGTTACTTTACTGAAACTGCTATTTTTAAAGTAAGCTTCCAATACATATTTCAAAGGCAGGCTCATTTCAAGAGCAATGTTTTTCACATGCATAAATCTTTCCTGTTTTCTTGTGTTGCTACCATTGATGCATCTTTTGGAGAAACAAAAATATTTTCAAGACTTAGCCATCTTGGTTGTAAGTGATGCCTTCATAACCACTCTGGTTACATTAAGGTACTTATGATGGAAACAAACACATTTCACATTTAAAGATACTCATTTTCTTCTTCCTTTTTTTTTTAAAATGAAAAGCTTGTTGGACACTCAGTTCACTGCCAGAAATAAACAGGATCTTTTACCATGAAGAACTGTGCTTGGTTCTTGGTCATTCTAATTAAATATACACTTGTCTCTCATTTCTGATGCTGTGGAAAGATTCAGCCAGATGATAAGTATGGGGTCTCACTATGGTAATTGTAGTCAGGACAGACCTTTTGCACAAGTTTATAATCAACACTGTAAAAGGCAATGTAAATGCAAATAACTTTGAAGGGCTTGGAACACAACCAAGACACGTGGCTCTGAGTCTGCTCCTGATAGCAGATCTTCGACGGGTCAAAGTTGCACAGGGCGGTCTTCTTTGCCCTATCTGTTTTTTCGTACTCAATACGACAATTGAAAGATTTGGATTCCTTGGTCTCCAAGGTAGACTGTGGGGAAACTTCAAACTCCACCACTTTGGAGGGGGGTACCAAACTCACTGAAACGTTGCCCAGGCCTGTGGAATTATGTCGGAAATAGACACTGAAGGTGCCATTTCCATGGTCAACAATTTTCCCCGTGATGAGAAGGTTGAGTTTGACAGTTTTGATATTGGAATGGAAGTCACCCCAACCAAACATTTTCTTAAATTTTCCAGTTTTCACTATTGGCCTCCGTTTAGTTCTTGCCAACGGCTCCTGAACCTCTGTGATGTTGGCCAGCCAATCCCAAAAGTTTTCCATGCTGTCTGCGTAAGCCAGGTGTCCAGACTTTGGTATTGGAGACTGCTTCACAAACAGGCGCAGAGGATTGATGATTCTTGAGTGAACCACATTTCCAACTAATGTTCCCGGAGCATCTTTGTCTTCCCAATCCAGCCCTTCTGTGGCATGCACCACCTGTTTGTTGTCACTATAAAATAGCTGTTTGAAAAGAAGAGAAACTTTAGGTTAGACTTTGAGTGCACACATCTTAAGGCTAAAGAATAAGGAAAAGGACTGAGATGTTATTTTTATTCCTGCTAAAGAATATTTCACACCTTTTGGCCCAAGAGTAAATTAAAAGGTGAATTTATTTCAAACAATGTAAAACTTTAAGCTTAAAAATTAAAATGATGAGATTAATAAAAGATAGTTTTATTTTTAATGGGTTGCTTGGATTTAGTCTGTCTCTGTTATCTTTCTAAAATTTAAAGAATAATTTTACTTTCCAGATTAGGGAAAGTCTTGAGTTTTCTTCTCAAGTGGAAGACAAGTCTAGAATATTGAAGGTTTCTACAAAGGAGAGTAAAACCATTTGAGTAAGAGAAGTATACTAAATATATTTAGAAATGTTCAGGATATTATTATAGTTAAATATTTATATTATATAACTTCATGTATCTTTATATAATTCCATCCTCAAACTCTGCAACAAAAAAAGAAGCATGAATGGTATACGAAAGTTCTTCCAGAGTTCTAGTTAAAATGTGTAATTTAAAATTTGCTTGATTTTAAATGACTCCCACTTGCAATTTATAGTTTTAAAATTCAAAGTTAATTAAATGAAACATATTAAATATTAAAGGATAAAAATGTTTTATTTGAAATATATCTTTTCAAATTAATTTTCTGTTATAGAGACAAATAAATTTATATTTTGAATGGTTGATTGCCATTTGCTTTAGTAAATTTTATTGCAATAGATATTTTGAAAGAATTGTTAAAAGTTTTTTTTCAAGTGCTCACATATTTATTTCAAACATACCAATTGAAATAGAGAAAATTATTTGCATTTCTTTTTTCTTTGTATTTCTTTTGTAGTGTTGAAGTTCCATGATTGCTAAAATTAGTTTAGTTAATATGGATCTTGAAAGAGATAATCTTTATATACAAAACTTGCTTAGAGTGAATGTTTATGGATGAGTTACAAAGTCTGGAGAATAGAGTAATCTAGAGGGAATACAGATAGCCTCTTATCGCTAATGGTACAAATTACTATTGTAAAAATTCTCAAGAACACTGTCAGCATGATGAAAAAAAGAAAAAGAAGTGATACTGTGTATATGTATTGTTTTTACAACCTTTTAAAACTTGGCAAAGCATCTGGCCAAAGTATTTTCAGATTATTACAAAAATTATTTATTTCAATCAATTTTTGAAAAAGTAAGACATGAACCTTTCTTATTTTATAGCTATGTTATAATTTATACATGATACGGTTTAATAACAAGATTTTTTATGCATTCACAAAAATCCAGAAGTTCTAATAAAGAAAAATGTTTTAATCTATACCTTGTCCCCAGGATCATGTTTGCATATGAATATGAGGACTTAAATGAGTAAATGTATGAGTGTTTTCTTCTTCTTGCAGACTACAACATGTATGCTGTACATCTCAGAAATCTTGTGCTATCTTGCAAGCTCTCTAAACCACTATTATTTCCTTAGACCCCAGATTCTTGAAGAATTCCATCACTTTATTTCTACTGTGTTTAAAATTTATTTTATCATCAAGTTAATTAACTTGGACAAATTTCCTTTGTTTAAAGGGAAACACAAAATATTATATTAGTTCTTTGAGAACCTGAATCTTTACTATTTTTTTTTTAGTAGTTTATTCATCCTGAGTTGATACTTCTGTGCTGAATAGCTAGCATACTCACTAGGAAAAAAAGGATCACTACTTTTAATTTCAGCCCAAAATATTTGAGGTACTTCTGATATTATGACTATCTTTCAATTTTCTATATGCACAAACTTCATTCACGTCAATTAGCAATAACGGCCCATGTTGTTCACTACTGGTTCCAGTTACAACTTAAGTCTGCTGACATAACAAGGCTCATTTGATATGTCCTGGCCTCTTTCCAGCAAAAGGACCATAAATTCATGTGCAGAAAATATGCCCCTCACTAACCAAGGTTCAATTTCTGTTCCATGAGATTATTATTTTTGTTTCCCACTGGATATGGTCTGCTTTTCACTTCTTTCTATAATTTAATGAGATCATTTCTTGTTTGACCAATACTGACAGGAATGACTACTTGGTAAAATATTTGGGGTACATAAACTTCATTATTTGTGATATCTACTCCCATATTTGGTAGAAATTTCATGTATCTTTCCTCACTATTGCCAATTTTTCTCTTTTTTGTTTTGTTTTTTTAAACAGAATATCTCTTAGATATTTCCCCTTTACCCCTGCTTTAAAATTTTTTAAAATATTATTTTACCCAAAAAACCTCTAAACATTGAACTAATAAATTAATAACAAGCAAGTTTGCAGTAATATAGAATTTGTTATCTGGTTTTAGTGCATTTAACTATACAACCCTCACTAGTTCGTATTTCATAATAACAGAAACTGTGAAATCCCTTTCTTTAAAAAATCTGTTGTAATGGTTCTGAGACTACTGACAATAATAATAATAATAGTAATAATAATAATATTGATTACTGGAGCGATAACACAGCAGGTAGGGCGTCTGCCTTGCACGCAGCCAACATGGCCGACCCGAGTTCGATTCCTCCGCCCCTCTCGGAGAGCCCGGCAAGCTACCGAGAGTATTCGATACGCCAGACACAGTTAACAACAAAGTCTCCAATGGAGACGTTACTGGGCCCGCTCGAGCAAATCGACGATCAACGGGAGGGCCTTTACTTTACTTTTTTTACGATTACTGGCTACTTTCTGAAACTTAAAGCTCAACAATTTTTGAGTACTTTATGTTGTAGCATTTGGGCAAAACATCTGACAACCCTAAAATAAGAGTACCAAGTGAAAATCAAAGCTTATCAAAAGCATAAATTGCATGTTATTACTTACTTTTAGAAATGCTCTTCAAAACTATAAAAAAAACCCCAAAATGACATTCTATTGGATGAGAAAATATTTGCACAGCACACATTGACAAGGAACACAACAATAAGCACTGCGAATAGAGCGCATAAAATTCAATAAGAAGAGAAAAGGAAAAGAAGAGGAGGTGAGGCATGCGGAAGAAGAGGAAAAGGAAAAAAATCAGCACTCTGAATCATATATAATCATATAAATCGATGTTATCTCAATTCAAAAAATATCTTAATTTAAAATTTAAAAAATTAATTTACCATAAATTACAAGTTATACATGATTACATTTCAGAAATACAATGTTTCAACACCTATATCACTTCACCAGTGTTCATTTCTCTCCTAAGTACCACCTCCCTGCTGACCCTCATGTTCCCCCTATCCATCAGCCAGCCTGCTTCTATGAAAGGCACTTATATTTTTATAATTTTTGGCACTTTTGGCACAGTGGTTTACAACAGTGTTACAAAACAAACAAACTGTCCTTAGAAAATATTCTACGCATTAATTTGAATAAAATTTTGTCTCTAAAAACATTTTCTAGCACATTACTCTTCAGGTTCAAACTTGCTCAAGGAGTCCTTGAGTTTAAGTTTAGTCTATCTAAAAATAACAAAAATTAATACCACAGACATATAATTGTACTTTATCCAGTGAAAACAATCGCTGACAGTTGCTTGTATAGAAATTATATTACAAAATAAATTTTTTTGCTTTGCCTGAGACCATCAATTTTCCAACTTACTTTGACAACATACACCCATGTTGAGAAAAACTATGTTTGAGTTCATTTGTTTATTTCAAAATACATGAATACCTCTCAAAACTAATGATTTACAAATGTGAGCCCAAATCTCAAACATTTCATGTGATATATTGGTAGGATTGCTTCCAAGGATACAGCTGTCCTGTGACAACAGAATTGAATCTTGTAAAAAGATAAATAAACATATAGTACAGTGTCACAAATGCATTTTTCTTTCTAATGATTTCTTAATAACACTTTATTGTAAGAATACAGTTTGTAATACATATAGCTTATAAAATATGCTAATGACCATTTACATTATGTGTAAGGTTTGGGGCCAAGAGCAGCCTATGAGTAGTTAAGATAAGTTATCTGTGCATTTCTGACTGTATGGGGATCAGAGCTCCTTAAAACACACACACACACACACACACACACACACACACACACACACACTTTCTCTCTCTCTCTCTCTCTCTCTCTCTCTCTCTCTCTCTCTCATATTCATGGCTCTGCCCTCAAGGATCCTTTTGAGCTGGCTCAAGGAACCTTCTTGCAGTTCCATGGATAAAACCGGTATGACAAGGCAAGTGCCATATCTGATACCCTATTTGGCCCTTCAGTATCACTGTATCACTGTATCACTGTCATCCCGTTGTTCATCGATTTGCTTGAGCAGGCACCAGCACCAGTAACGTCTCCATTAGTCCTAGCCCTGAGACTTTAGCAGCCTCTCCTTACTCGTCCTTTCCAACAGTGCCACATTGGAGCCTCTTTCAGGGTCAGGGGAATGACACCCATCACTGTTACTGGGTTTTGGCATATCAATACACCACCGAGAGCTTGCCAGGCTTTGCAGTGTGGGCATGATACTCTCGATAACCTGCTGGGTTCTCTGAGAACGAGAAGTAGAAAATAAAGGTCACTTCCTGGATCTTGGTTTTATAGTCTCTAGAGATCTTGGCCGTTGATGGGAATACACGGAGCCTGGGGCAGTTAGTGGGTATAACTCCCTAGCTACTGGAAGATGGGGGGTCTGGGTGGAAGAAGCCCAGTCCTCTTCTGAGCAGGTTTGGAGATCTCAGCCCCGGGTCCCGCACATCTGGGTTCCTCTGCTGGTTCCTTCATGCGTGAGGCTAGTCTGAGCATGTGGGGAGTGGTTTTAGGCATATCTGTGGCTGGGTTCCAGAGTCCTCAGCTGCTGGGGCTCTGCTCGGGGCGAGGAGGGAAACTCAACCCACCCCCCTCCAATGTCCAGTGAGGACAGCCAGGTGGGGGCCAGAAGACTCTGCCCTTCGGTATATTTTCTTCAATACATCACTGTGGAGATATTATCCTATCT